ATATGTATGTCACTCATACCTATAAAAGAGTTGAAAAAACTCTTTTTAAAGATGTCAAGAGGGACACATTGTGTTTTCTTAAAATTGAACGCGTTTCTATAACGTACTAGTTTTTTTATCACAATGTTTTTATCTAACGCACGCAGTTTGTTCGTTTTCACGAAATCACAAATTAATTTTTAGGTCAATCTTCATAATATATATATTCAAATTCTAGAATAATCTTTTTGTTGGTGCAAAGGTAGAATAAATGATGAATAGAGAAATATTCTATTAAGAGAATGACGGCTACACACACCCACAAATTGCAATGATTGCTACCCTATTTATAAGCTAAAACTAGGGTTACTAGAATAAGATAAAAATACTAAAATACCCTCTAACAAACATAGGGGCTAAGCAAATAGTACAACTAATAAATATGAATTACTTCTAATATCATCCCTTAATTCTTATTCCATCAAAACTTGTAACACCAATTCCATCCCTTAGTCTGAGAAATTGATCAGTCTTGATAACTTTCATCAGAACATCTGCCAACTGTTTCTGAGTGCTGCAGTGTACAACTTCTAACACTCCACTCTGAACTTGATGTCTCAGAAAATGATACTTGGTCTTAATATGCTTGCTTCTCCCATGCAACACTAGGTTTCTGGCAAGATTGATTGCAGACTTGTTGTCAATCATCAACTTCAGAGGTTTGTTTATTTTAATCTTCAGATCCTGCAACAGATTCAGAATCCACACAGCTTGGCATGCAGTAACAGCACCTGCAATGTATTCAGCTTCACAGGTTGATAACGCCACAACAGGTTGCTTCTTGGAACACCATGAAATGGGACCTCCCAGAAATTTGAACAAGTACCCAGAGGTACTTCTTCTGTCAACTCTGTCTCCACACCAATCAGAATCTGAATAACTCAGAAGTTCTGACTCATTCTTTCTTCCAGAAGGAAATAACACTCCATACTTCAGAGTTCCCTTGATATACCTCAGAATCCTGACAGCAGCTTGGTAATGGGACCACTTAGGTTTACTCATGAACCTACTAACCATCCCAACAGAATAGCAAATATCAGGTCTGGTATTGCACAAATACCTCAGAGAACCAACCAACTGTTTGAAGGTTGTAGCGTCCACATCCTTTCCATCAGAGTCAGAATCCAGTTTCTGATTTGTATCAGAAGGTGTGACAGCAATCTTACAATTATTCAGTTCAAATTTCTTCAGAAGTTCTAATTCATACTTGAGCTGATGCAAAATGATACCTTTCTCATAATATCTGAACTTCATCCCTAGAAAGTATGTCATTTTGCCTAGATCAGTCATTTCGAATTCATTCATCATAACTTTCTTGAACTTGGCTATCTCCTGTTCAGAACTTCCAGTCAGCAGTATGTCATCAACATATAAACACACCAGAGTCATATTGCCTTCAGAAGTATGCTGAACATAAACATCGTACTCCATCTCACATTTCTGAAAGCCTTGCTTCTTGAAAAATGAATCAATCTTATGATTCCAAGCTCTGGGCGCTTGTTTCAATCCATATAGAGCTTTGTATAATCTCTACATCATCCCTTCCTGATTCTTTTTCACAAATCCAGGAGGTTGTGACACATAAACTTCTTCTTCTAATAGACCATTCAGAAATGCAGATTTTACATCTAAATGCATCAGAGGCCAATTCCTGTTAGCAGCTATTGCAATCACTATTCTGGTTGTTTCATGTCTTGCTACAGGTGCAAACACTTCAGAATAATCCAGCCCAGATTTCTGTAGAAATCCTCTGGCTACCAACCTTGCTTTATGTTTGCCAATTGAACCATTTGCCTTTAACTTCTGCTTGAAAACCCATCTGACGCTGATGACTTTCTTGTCTTTTGGAAATTCTGTCAGCTTCCAAGTCTTGTTTCTCTCTATAACATCAAGTTCTTCTTTCATGGCCTTCAGCCAGAGCTTCTGCTTAAGAGCCTCTTCTGTACTTATGGGTTCAGAGTCTACTATCATGGCACACTGAATAACTTCTTCTTCAGAGTCTACTTCAGTGTCTTGCAGCATGTCAAATTCTGCATATCTTCTGGGAGTGTTTCTGATTCTTTGTGGTCTCTGAACTTGTTCAAAGTCTTGAGCTTCAGATGGATGACCTCCTCCAGAGCTTTGACCATCTTCAGGGTCTGGCATATTTCCAGAGTCTTGAACTTCAGAATTTCTAGCTTCAGAGGCTTGACTTCCTCCAGAGCCTTGGCCATCTTCAGAGTCTGAATTGCCACCAGAATCTGGATTACCATCAGAGTCTGGATCATCAGAGTCACCTTCATCTTCTGAGTCTTCTCCAGAGTCAGAATCACTATCAGAATCAGAATCAACGTCAGAGTTTACTCCAACTTCAGAAATTCTTAACTCTGACCTTTCTTCATAAGTTCTAACATCAGAATCAGATTGAGACTTATCCCAATTTCAAACTTCTGATTCCTTCACAATCACATCTCTGCTGAATTCAATTTTATTGGTTTTTGGACAATAGAGCTTGTATGCACATGTACTGCGGTACCCTATCAGAATCATCACTTTGCTTCTATCACCCATCTTCTGTCTTCTGGCTTCTGGAACATGTTTATAGCAAACAGAACCAAACACCTTCAGATGACTAACATTTTGCTTGTCTCCAGTCCACTTCTGTATTGGAACTATTTCCTTCAACTTCTTCGTAGGACATCGGTTGAGTACTTACGTTGCAGTGGCAACAACTTCTCCCTAGAGCTTCTGAGGAAGCTTCTTCTCCTTTAGCATGCTTCTCACCATATCAAGCAAAATGAGGTTTCTTCTTTCAGCAAGACCATTGTGTTGAGGGGTATAAGGAGCAGTAACCTCATGCTCAATTCCATTCTCCTCACAGAACTTCTGGAATTCTTTAGAGTTATACTCACCTCCACCGTCAGTTCTAAGAATCTTCAACTTCTGACCACTCTGATTCTCAGCCTTCATTCTGAACTTCTTGAATTCATCAAACACCTCGTGTTTAAACTTAATAAGGGATACCTGTGTCATTCTTGTGAATTCATCAACAAACAACACAAAGTATTTATTCCCTCCAATTGATGCTACTGGAAATAGACCACACACATCAGAATGTACAACTCCCAAGACATGTTTTACTCTTGGAGCAGCTTCTGACGCAAATGGCAATCGTGGTTGTTTTCCTTCCATGCAAACTTTGCATGACTTTTCAGGCTTCTTAATTGCAGGAATTCCATGTACCAACTTCTTTGAATTCAGATGTTTTAAGCTTCTGAAATTCAAATGATCAAATCTTCTGTGCCACAGCTCACTCTCCTTCTCAACACTTGTTGCACTAAGACATTCTGAGTCTGCAGTTCTGACATTCACCTTGAATGTTCTATTCCTTCCCTGTTCTGACTCCATAATCAACTTCTGATTGCAGTCACACAGCTTCAGAAGATTGTCCTTCATGTTAACTGAAAATTCTTTCTCAATTAATTGTCCCACACTCATCAGATTGCTTCAGATGCCAGGTACATATCACACATTGATGAATGAAGAACAATGCTTTCTGATCCTTCTTCCTTACTTCCTTCTGCGCGTTTTTCTGTTCATCCGTCGCATTTGCTGCTACCGGAACATAACCATCAGTGACAAGATCTAGAACATCTTGAGCACCAAACAGTACACACATTTGGATCATCCAACGATTCCAGTTTTTACCGTCAAATACTGTAAGTTTGGTGCTCATGTTGCCGTTTCCGTTCATCTTCTACCTTGCACAGTACACTCAGATTTCTCACACAGTATTTTCCAACCCACAGAATTAAAATTCTGATCAGATTTTGTTCAAGATTCAACACGAATCTAAGAATCAAAATCAAACACATAAGACCTCACGTTCACTCGTGTTTCCCGTGTTTCCCAATGACTCCGAACCGGAGCTCTTGATACCAATTGTTGGTGCAAAGGTAGAATAAATGATGAATAGAGAAATATTCTATTAAGAGAATGACGACACACACACCCACAAATTTCAATGATTGCTACCCTATTTATAAGCTAAAACTAGAGTTACTAGAATAAGATAAAATACTAAAATACCCTCTAACAAACTTAGGGGCTAAGAAAATAGTACAACTAATAAATATGAATTACTTCTAATACTTTTATTATGTCTTTGCTTATTCTTTTTATAAATAAAAAGTAACAACGGTTCCACCAATCGACTTGGAGAGGAAATTTTAATTAAAATAATTTACTTTCGATTGCAACAATATATCTTATTCTTATATATTGGTGCATGCTTCAAAAAGTTCTTATCAAATCATTTAGTATATATGCATGCTGGCCTCCTTACTTGGTCACATTTAAGGACACTTTAGCCTTCGATTGACCACTATGTTATAAAGTGCTTTTGTCTTTGTTTCCATGTCGTCATATCCAAAAATGTCAGAGAAAGAGAGAGGGAAGGGGAGAAAGAGGGAGGAAGGGTGAGAGAGAGAGAGAGCAATGGAACAAACAACTCCTAATTTAAAGTACACACAAACCGACACATATTTGTTACATGTAGATGTAGCTCTCCATAAATAATATTGATTCACATACTATACTTAGAGGTGACAAACATACATGCATGCATCTAAATGAACCTAAACGTACATCACACATTTATTGAACTTTCAACAAGCATCACTTAATGGACATGCCTAAACTAGCAAGGTTTAGGTTAACAAATAAAATCAAATCTACACACACTCTTGAAGAAAAAAAATACATTAGATAATCAAATTAATGCATATTGATCAACAAATAAATCCCCCATACTATAAATAGATAAAACCAAACTTATATTCCTAGTTAGAAATTGTAGTCGCAACCGAATTTGACCACATTGATAGAATTTTTTTCTATTGTGCCGCAATATAAAAGTTTACAGCATGTCTCGAACTACGTCTGCAACTGCAATTTAAAACAATGATCATATTTATATATGCTTAACACTCCCATCCTAGCGGAATAATAGGGTTTGTGACTATTTGGCTGCTTGAGGATGGAAATGATGATGACATGAGGGCATCAATGTTATCCAAATGAATGACTTCCACATTTTGATCTTGTGGATAAATAATACTTGGTGTGTAGCATTGAAATTTTGTTGGAGCTTCATGTTCCTTGGAATCAGATGAATCTAGGATGCTACAAACATAATCCTCAAAACTATGATCACTGACTTTAGGAAAAAAGGTTTCAAGTTCAACAAAGGTGTGATCATATTGTTGCATTAATTTGCTAAGCAGGGTGGCATCACTTTTGGAAACTTGATTTTCTAATAGATTTTGATTTAGATGAAGAGCTTCACAATTCAACAACCATGCATCTTCACAAGGTAAAGGATTTGATATTGGTTGTACTATTTGTGGCATTGGATTTTGAATGTGAAGGAAATTGGCATTCAAATGGTTATGGATATCTACCTTTGTGTCAATTTGGTGGAAATTGTCTTGTAGATTTTGAGATGAGGTTGGAAGGTATAGGTTATCTTGATGGTGATGATGATTGAAGTTTAGGATCAAATTAGGGTTAGGAAAGAAACTTTCCATAGAACCAATATTGTAGGGGGTGCGAATATCAGAAATTGTGGTGAAAGATGGGACAATATCATGAGAAAGAATCTTCTTCTTAATGCTTGAATTCCAAAAGTTTTTCACCTCATTATCTGTTCTTCCTGGTAAATGTTTCGCAATCTGAGCCCACCTATACAAACAATTTTAAATCTTGTTAAGAAAATACGAATATCCAAGTCATGAAAATACTAAAATGACACTTATTTTAGATCGGAAAGACCAGAAACTTGTAAATTTTGAGAATAATAAATGTTAATATACCTATTTCCTAGAATGCTATGAAGTTCTATAATGAGTGAAGCTTCTTGATGAGAGAAACTTCCGCGTTTCAAATCAGGTCTTAGATAATTGATCCATCTTAATCTGCAACTCTTTCCACATCTTTGCAAACCTATGTATAAATGATCATATAATATGAAAAAAAATGTTGAGAACTATATATAAAATATTCAAGGAAATTAAATATTAGTGTGTAAGAATAATTTGTTACCAGCAAGTTTTGGAACTGAGCTCCAACAACCATGTCCATAAGTAGTGATGTATTTGATGAGTTTTTCATCTTCTTCAGGAGACCATAAACCTCTTTTCACTTTCTGTTTGTTGCAGCAAGAGTGATGTCCCATGATGATGTCTTGTTTTGTTTTGTTTTCTCCTTAGTTTGATGAATAAGTGTCAAAATGACAAATACATCCAATATGGACGACAACAATGTTTTATCAACTGTTTTGGTGTTATTTGAAAATGGGGAAGAAAATGACAGAGGAAGTTGTATGTTGAATCTTTGGCTTTAGTTTAAGAATAGAATAGGTTGCATTAAATGATGAAAAGAATGGTGTGAAGAGAGTAACAGAGAAAAGGATGATATATGCAGAAGAAAGTGTGAGGTGGTGAATTCAATGTGGAAGTTGTACAATGGTGGCCCAATATAAGGTTTTTTTTGAAAAGAGATAACTTCAACCTGCAACAGCATGAGAGATATTATAAAAGTAGATAATTTGCTATGATGTAGGGTGAAAATAGTTAATCCACATCTACATGAATTTACATACTAGTCTACGTCAAGTGTAGATCAGCCCAGGACCCCGGTCGGTAACAGTTTTTGCGATTTCGGTTGGTATAAATATCAGCGACATTGATTATCATCGTTATGGTGTGAATTAACTACAATTTATTTATTAATATAAAAACAGTGATAATAGTATCAATATTGACATTTATTGCTACTGTAACAACTGTTTTCGTTATCGCTAACGGTTTTTTAAAATTTGAATTAGATCATATTTTTTTTTCAATATACGAGATTTTTTTAAAAAATCGAAACTTTTTAAATTTATAAGTTTTTATCTGTTTAAATAAATATAATAATATTTATTATTATTATTATAATATTTAATTTTGTATTTTATATTAAGTTATAAATTATAAATTAGTTAATATTTTCAATAATTTAACTTTATTAGTCTATAAATTAGTATATATAGTCTTATTATCTATTATATATATATATATATATATATATATATATATATATATATATATATATATATATATATATATATATATATATATATATATATATATATATATATATATATATATATATATATATATATATATATATATATATATATATATATATATATATATATATATATATATATAGATTAATTTTGTTGATCTATATATTAGCTAATTATTGTATTTGTTACATAATTCATATAAGTAAGTAATATTAAACTTTTAAACAGGCTAAGACCTTTAAAAAGATTAAATTCCTCCTGGATTAGCTATATTGTACCAATATTCTAGACACTCCACTCCTCTATTGAATTTAGGTATTGCTAGTTCTTTTATTTCTATTAGTTTTATTATGTAGGATAGTAATCTTTGATTTAAGAAAGGCTTAACTTGTCTATTAGTCTGGATTATGTTCTCCTTTCACATGTTTCGCGTCACTTACGACCTATTTTTAAACAGTAAGAAATATATAAAGGATGTCTAGGAGTTGTGTTCAATGATGATAATTCTTTTAATATTTGTGGTTGGGGAGTATATTTAAGTATATTATGCTAAGAGAGCTCATTGTTTCTAAGTATTTGGAATTCATAGTGATAAAGGAGACTAAGATTGGCAAGTTTTCTAATTCTTTTGTGCATGTCTTATGGGGGAACTCTTTTTGTGGTTGGATTTTCCCCCTATTCTTGGGCAATAGTGATGGTCTCTTTTTTATTTGGTGTAGAGAACATCTCTTTTTTCCTTTGCTAGACCTGGTTTTTTTTTTGGGTGTGTGTCTAGATTGAGGTATAACTAAGATGATTTATTTCGTCGTTAAAATTTACTTTAAGTGTAATTTTTGAGAGAAAAGGCCCTTTGGAAGGATCTTCTGTTGAGAAGGGTCAGTCTTAGAGAGGATGTTTGGTGTGCACTTTGGAATTTTAACTTTGTCTGTTCGTTGGTTGAAAGAATTGAAGGGGGTTTGTCCGCACCCATTGTTAGTAATTATAAGGTCTTTGAGTTCAGTAATTTCATCTTTGAGATGGATTTGCTTGATCTCCCTCTTCTTGATAGAATTACTTGGTACTAACCCTATGGTGGGGCAACGAGTTGCTTGGATATGATTCTTATTTTAGATGGTTGATGAGAGTTATGGGGGACAACATCCCAATGGGCTCTGCTTAGAGGTGTGTCAGATCATTGTCCAATATTTCTTAGATACTCCAATCAGTTATGGGTTCTAAGCATTTCTTATTCAATAATCATTGGTTTTCTCATCCACAACTCCCAGACATGGTGTTTAGAAATTGGTATAGTTCTCAGTTCTCTGGCTGAGAAGGTTTTGTTATGAAAGAGAAGCTCAAATATCTCAATGGTGCTTTGAAATCTTAGAATCTCTAAGTTTTTAGTAACTTAGAATCCCAAATTTCTTCCTTAAGAGATAAGGTGAACTCTTTGGATTTGAGAGTTAAGCAAGGTGGGCTTTCAGTGGAAGAGATTGACTATAGGAAGAAAGTTGTCTCAAATCTTTGGTTCCTGCTTTAGATTAAACACGCCTAACTTTTTCAGAGATCTAGAGTCAATATGCTTAAGGAGGGTGATGTCAACATTTATTTCTTTCATGCGTGTATCAAGAGTAGGTCTAGAATGAATAAAGTCTTAGCTTTTAAGGTAGATGTTTCTTAGGTAAAATGGGTGTCTGAGATTCGGAAAGAGGTGGTTAACTATTTTCTATTAAGTTTAGAGAACTTCTCCTTGATCGACCTAGGCTCGATGGGGTCTTTTCCCATCTATTTTGGAGGAGGACTTTGTCAATCTTACCGCCCATGTTCTCTTCTCTGAGATTGACTGGGTCGTCACTTAGTGTGTTGAGAACAAGAGTCCCAATCTAAATGGTTTTAATTTCTACTTTTTAAAGAGATTCTGGCCTCTTCTCAGGGATGAGATTGTGATTACATTATATCAACTCCATTAGCTCGCTTTTCTTCCTCATGGTTTTTTATCTTACTTTGTGGCTTTGTTCCCTAAGGTTGACTCTCCTTCTCATATATGTAATTTTCGGCCATTTAATTTCTTTGGTAGGTTCGCTTTATAAGCTCATTGCTAAAGTTTTGTAGAGATTATCTCTAGGGTTATGGATAAGCTTACTTCACTTAACTAGTCAGTCTTCATTAAGGATATGATTATTGTGGATGAAGTAGTTGTTGTGAATGAGTCGGTGGATCTAGAAAAGAAGAGAAAAAATACTTGCTTCAATTTTAAAGTGGATTTAGAGAAATCTTATGACTTGATCAGCTAGTCCTTTTTGGATTATATGGTTTCTAGGTTTGGTTTTAATGATAAGTCGAGAAATTGGATTCATGCTTGTGTTTTTTCTAGTAATCTTGAGGTCTTGGTTAACAGTTGTCTAACCCATGAAATTAGCATTTAAAGGGGGCTAAAGAAAGGTGATCCCCTGAATCCCTTTCTTTATCTCTTGGTAGTTGAAGGTTTGAGTGGGTTATTTTCTAGGGCTATGGACTAGCAACTTCTTTCAAGTATTAGTGTGGGCTCCTCGGATTTGACAGTCTCTCATCTTTAGTAAGCAGGTGACAAGCTAATTCTGAAAGATGCCTCAATTTAAAATTTATGGTCCATCAAGGCTATCCATCGAGCGTTTGAGTTAGCTTTAGGCATACAGGTGAAATTTGCTAAAAGTAGTCTCATTGGAGTAAATTGTGATCCTGCTTTTCTTGACCTAGCTTGTGATTTTCTTCATTGTCAGCAAGGTTGCTCCCGTTTAAGTATCTTGGTCTCCCAAAAGGGGTGAATCCCCATTTGTCCTCTATGTATGAACCTCTATTTAGTCTCGTCACTATGAGGCTTCAATCATAGAGGCACATATATGTATCCCTAGGAGGGCAGGTGGTTATTCTTAATCCTGTTCTTAATGATATTCCTATCTTTTACATGTCTTTTCTAAAGTTATCTGTTAAGGTTTGGAAGAGGATTGTGAAAAATCAAATGAAGTTTTTGTGGAGGTGGTGTATGTGTAGAGGGTCAAAAATCACTTGGGCTAGGTTGTTTGATGTTTGAAATCCCAAAAAGCTTGGGGCCTTGGTGTTTGTGACCTTTAGTTGATTAATTTGAATCTGTTGAATAAATCACTACTAAAAATAAGACATTTGGTTAAATGATTTTACATCAGATTTTTAGATATATGATGTGAAAAATATTTGTTAAAGGATTTTACATCAGATTTATTAACAATATGATGTGAGAAATATTTGATTTAAAGATTTTACATCAGACATATATTTCCACTGATGTAAAAAATAACGCGGTGGCATTGTCGTAAATAATAAGAAATTTTGTTATAAAGGATTTTACATCGGGCCATTTATCCCAACCGATGTAAAAAGTTCTCAATAAAAAATAAATAAAATGGGAGAAACATTTTACATCGGGCCATGTACCCCATCTGATGTAAAAAATAATGCGGTGGCAGTGTCGTAAATAATAACAAATTTTGTTATAAAGGATTTTACATCGGGTTGTTTATCCCAACCGATGTAAAAGTCCTCAATAAATAAATAAATAAAATAGATTAAGATTTTATATCAGGCCAATTTGCCCAACTGATGTAATAAGATTCTAAATAAAAATTTAAATAAAATTGATTAAAAATTTTACATCAGGCCTATTTGCCCATCCGATGTAAAATGTTTCTTAAAATCCCAAAACCCTATCTGAAAACTTAAGATTCTCCAACTCCCAAAAATCTCTTATCATTCTTCTTCTTCGCTTCCACCGTCTTCGTCTCCATTTTTCTTCTTCGCTTCCACCATCATTGTTATTCTTCTTCCTCCGCCGCCACCGTCTACCATTCTTCTTCCTCCGCCGCCACCATCCGTCATTCTTCTTTTTTTTTTCGCCGCCACCCATCCCTTCGCCGAAGATGAGGTGAATCTCTTTTCCGTAAGTTTCTCATCGTATTTTCTCTAATTAATTATTTTCTCTATAGTTTCTCTATATTTATTCAAAATAGGATTGATACTCGTACATGTATATCATAGGACGTTCTTAATTAAAATAATAAATAAAAAATAAAAGATACTGGTGATGCTACTCATAATAAAAAATTTTATTA